AGTATATTCAATATTCTTCGACAACACCATAATTCAAAGGCATCAATTTTTCTTTGGTTTCCCTTATTCATTGCCCAATTTTCGCGTGTATATGAAGCAACAGAAAAAAACCACGGCTTAGGTCAGGCACATCTTAGCCCTCAAAGTGACATCTTTGCTTTTTCACACTTTAAAGAGGTCTTTTGCAGCAGATTTGCCTACTGTAAGACATCCTTTGATTTCATGACTTCTGCTTCCACGGGCGTTGATTGTAGATTCGAGTAAAATGAAATCCTTGACAACTTCAATCTTTTCTCCATTTACCATGATGTTGCTAATTGGTCCAGTTGTAAGGACTTTTGTTTTCTTTATGTTGAGGTGCAATCCATATTGAAGGCTGTAGTCTTTGATCTTCATCGGTTAGTGCTTGAAGTCCTTTTCACTTAAGGCTGTGTCATCTACATATCGCAGGTTGTTAATGAGTCTTCCTCCAATCCTGATGCCATGCTCTTCTTCATACAGTCCAGCTTCTCAGATTCTTTGCTTAGCATACAGACTGAATAAGTATGGTGAGAGAATACAATCCCGACGCACACCTTTCCTGACTTTAAACCACACAGTATCCCCTTGTTCTGTTCAAACGACTGCCTCTTGATCTGTGTACAGGCTCCACATAAGCACAATTAATTATTCTGGAACTCCCATTCTTCGCAACATTATCTATAATTTGTTAGGATCCATACAGTTGAATGCCTTTGCATAGTCAATAAAACACAGGTAAACATCTTTCTGGTATTCTCTGTTTTTAGCCAAGATCTATCTGACATCAGCAATGATATCCCTCGTTCCATGCCCTCTTCTGAATCCAGCTTGAATTTCTAGCAGTTGCCTGTCGATGAATTGCTGCAACCATTTTTGAATTATGTTCAGCAAAATTCTACTTGCATGTGGTATTAATGATATTGTTTGATAAGTTCTGCATTCTGTTGGATCAACTTTTTTTTGGAAGAGGTAGAAATATGGATGTCTTCCAATGAGTTGGCCAGGAAGCTGTCCTCCAAGTTTCCTGACATAGATAAGTGAGAGCTTCCAGTGTTGCATCCATTTGTTGAAACATCTCAACTGATATTCTGTCAATTCCTCCCGAAATGGTTGAAAACTGACCAATTCTTTCTGGTACAGTGACTCTGAGTATTCCTTCCAACTTCTTTTGATGCCACCTGCATCGTTCAAAATTTTGTCTATAGAATCCTTTAATACTGCAACTTCAGGCTCAAATTTTTCTTCAGTTCTTTCAGCCTGAAAACTGCTGCGTGTGTTCTTCCTTTTCGGTTTTCTAACTCCAGCTCTTTACATATTTCATTATAACACTCTGTCTTCTCATGCCTTCCTTTGAAATCTTCTGTTCAGCTCTTTTACTTCATCATTTATTCCATTCACTTTTAGCTACTGTACCTTCAAGAGCAAGTTTTAGGGTCTCTTCTGATACCCATTTTGGTCTTTTCTTTCTTTCATGTCTTTTTAATGACCTTTTGCTTTTTTCATGTATGATGTCCTTGATGTCACCCCATAACTCGTCTGGTCTTCAGTCATTATTGTTCAACGTATCAGATCTATTCTTGAGATGGTCTCTAAAGTCAGGTGGGATATACTCAACGTCGTACTTGGCTCTTGTGGCCTCATTCTAATTTTCTTCAGCTTCAGCTTGATATAAGCAATTGATGGTCTGTTCTGCAGTTGGCCCCTGGCCTTGTTCTGATTGATGATATTGAGCTATTCCATGGTCTCTTTCCGCAGATGTAGTTGATTTGATTCCTGTGTATTCCATCTGGTGAGGTCCACAAGTATAGTTGCCATTTATGTTGTTGAAAAAAGGTATTTGCAATGAAATGCAAAATTCTATCATGCAATCTCTGCGTTGTTTCTATTACCAAGGCTATATTTTCCAACTACCAATTCTTCTTTGTTTCCAACTTTCACATTCCAATCACCAATAATTATCAATGCATCCTGATTGCATGTTTGATCAATTTCAGTCTGCAGAAGTT